GTTTATTCTGACACCAGGATATTTGGATAGTTTCTACTTTTTTGCTGTTATGAATAATGCTGCTATGAATGTTCATGTTGTTGTGTATGAAGAGTGAAATTTCTAAAACATAGTTACTCTATAGTTAGCCTTTAAAGAACCTGTTGGACAGTTTTCCAAAGTAACTACCCCATGTCTCATGGCCACCAGGGTTGCATTTCTCCACATCCTTCTGTGCACCTGCTGCTGTCTTTTGATCCTAACCATCTCTGTTTTGATTTGTTTGCATTTCCCTAATAGTTAATAAGGTTGTAGTTTGTGTTCATGTATTAATTGGCCATTTGTATATCTTGTTTGAAGGAACGCTTGTTAGCTTCCTTTGTCCATTTCAAATGGACTATTCTTTATGATATTCTGTATAAATATTCCCCATAACTATTATTTATAACATGCTAGATACAAGCCCCATATCAATGCATGATGAATATTTCCCAACCTGTGAATCATTGATGAAACAATAGTTGTTTCATCAACAATAATAGATGCAAACAATAATGTGATGCTGCAATACAGCTGGTGAAAATGTGAAAGAAAAGGAATACTCATTCATAATTTTGTTTATAGCATTTTAAGCCATGTACAAATTGCAAATTACATCTTAACTTCTCCCTTATTTCATTGTCTCCCTCTTGTCCAAAGGAAGGTACATAATAAGCAGTTTTCAAATATATGAAAAACTACCATGATATTCTACATAACTCCACTAGTAGAAGAAATGTACTCTTATTTTAAATTCTTTCATGAGTAAGTCCTTTAAAAAAGAGTAAGCCGTGTAAAAAAAATATATATATATAGCTATTATAGACCCCAAATGGCATAAATCAAGGCAAATAAAAGTCTTATTTCTTCAAGCCATCCTCAACTTGCAATAAACACACAAATGTTCAAATCTCATAGAAGATAATGAACAAGTTCAATTTACTATTATCGTTGCACTCGAAAAGTAAAAATTCACCCTCTTACACAATTATGTGTGTGTATATGATATACGTTATATATCATATGTTATTATTACTACTAATACAACCTCAATTATCCATATTCACTTTAAACTGTAGTCTACCTAACATCTAGCTAATGACCTGTCCTTGTAGACAGCCACTAAATGTAACTGCCTGTCACCACAAGCAATTCAGTAGAATAGCAAATACCACTTTCTGTAGCCACAAACATTATTTTTATATCTTCTTAAATTACAGGGTTGAATACATTCTTAAAATGATGCAAAATTTTAGTGACTCTAGTATATTAACATAAACAAAATTATACATAATAAAAACTGGCTTATGACTAAGATTTTGAAGATAACTAAGGATCTTAAAAACCATATTATAAGTGAACACTAAAACATAATTATTATAGATATAAAGTTTGTCAGAATTATGACTTAGCCTGGTAAACACAATTGTTTGTATTTGATACCTTCCTGACTTTATATGGGACTGTTAGTTTGTCTGGTCAGTATCCCTATCAGAATTACGTCAAGTATGGGTTAACTAGTTCTCTTCATAAAATATAAATATACACCCTTACAAAGTTATAAAGAAAACATAGTTGTGTATTTTAAGTCGGAATCATTAGTCCTATTTCTCCAAAGACTCTCTTTTATTATATTAATATTATACTTTTGAATCTAGAAGAAACTGCAAAAAGATTTTTTCTACCTACTTAAAGTTTCATTAAATACTGCAATATGATTCACTAAATTAGTTATTATTTTCCCTGACCAATTAGATATAACCCCTTTAATTTCAGAGACTAAATGTTCATTTACAATTTATTTAAATTAACTTATAATTTAATCTTTAACTTGTTTCTGTAATTAGCCAAATATTTTATAGTTAGCAATGAAATATAATGTTTTGCTCAATTTCAAAAAGGGATTATGTAGCTTTAGTTCTGTATCATCAAAAGTATAATAGTTACTCAGATTCTTTATTATCTTCCACATGAGAGATAATTAATCCAATGTTCATGAAAATTTGGAATGATCAGATTATAAAATTGCACTTTGCTATTAACAGTGAGGAATTTTTTTAAATTTTGTTTTTAGTGAAAGCTAGATCCAGAACTAAAAATACTAGGAACCAGAAAAAAAATCAAAAGTACAAAATTTAAAAAAAAATACCTAAAGTAGCAAAGATAAAGTTCTATTGCTACTACAGAATATTTTCTGTACTTTAGCAGGGATCTTTCTGGATAGAAGAAACCCATGAAATGCATTCCTTGATGACACAATTAAGTTGGCTTTGAAAGAGAAAGATAACTTTCATAAATATAAAATATCTAAATTTATCCTAGGCAAAAATTATACGATTGACATGCAGCTTAATATGTCTAGGACATTTAATCAATTTAAACCAAATCAATTAAAGTATATCCCCCAATGATTCTAGGTTGGGTCTCTTAAATAATCTACCCACTGAAAGAACATATTGCCCTTAATATTTCTGAGCTTTAAGTAACTTTTCTCAACATAGGGAAATATGTAATATATAACTCCTGCCTCAGGTAACTATAATATAATACATTGAATTTGTATCAATGAGAAGAGTCAATATATTTAAAGATGTCAGTTTTTCCAATACTAACCTTTAAAATCAGTACAATTTCATTAAAATGTTCTTATGGAAGCTGGCAAATAGATAAAAAAAAACTATTAATAATGATGAAGAACAAATGCTTGAGTAACTCAAAATATTTTGATGACCAAAAACTAAGTGACATGTCAAAAAATATTTGAAAGTAGGTAAATCAATGCAGTTTGGAGAGATGGACAAGTAAAACTGATTGGGGAACCCAGAAACAGGGTGATGCACATTGGAAAAGTTAACAGAGGAAGTTCTGAAAGTCAGTAACACATAATCAATATTAAATGCTGTTAGGCCAATTGAGTATATACTTGGAAAAATAAAATTAGATTACATATTATAATAAAAATAAAAATACAGCTAGATAACTACTTAAAGCAGAAAAACAAAATATCAAAATTTTCAGAAGAAAGCATGGCATATTTTTATAACTTTGATAATAAAGGAATTCCTTAAACAAAATACAAACGATAACTAAGGCGAAAATTTTTAAAAATATGATATTTAAAAAAACATTTTTCTCAAAACCATCAACTTCCAAAGGAATGTGTGCATACTATAAATTGGACAAAGGTATTTGCAATAAATTTGATTGAGAAAAGGTTATTTTTCAGAATATATAAAGACATATATATATATTAATAATAAACACAGAGAGAGAGAGAGAGCTAGAGATCAGGAAACAAAAGATGCTTAATCCAAGAATATTGACAAGTATGTAAGATCTGAGAGCTTACAGAAGTGGACATGAGCTCATAAACAAAAATTTTCAATCACACTAATCAAGTCAATGCAATTCAATCATGATGTGACTATCTTTTTACACTTATACGATCAGCAGAATTTAAATAGTCTTAATATGCCAAATATTTGGAGGATGTGTAAAGTTAAAACCTTCTTGCTTTCTGTTGGTAATATACCATGCTGTAATAAACATCGATACTGAAATTTGGTGGTGTCTAATGTTTTTGACTCATGATTTCTATTTATAGCTATGTATCTTGGAGAAACACACGTACATAGGAAAATGTCTATGAAATTAGTTATTATAACTGTATTCATAATAGCTAAAATTGAAAACAATACAGTAATTCATCTATAATGGATGTATATATTTTAGTATATTCATAAAAGATAGCACAATATATTTTCAAATGTACTAGCAGAAATTTGTAACTTTGGCTAAATCTCATATATGACATTGAGTAAAACAACCTAACTGCAAAGAAGGAAGTATATTTTATAATTTTGATAAATTTAGATGTACACATGTTATGCTTAATCATACATATGTATTAATTATATATTTTTTAAAGTCTAAGCACCTTAATTTGTATGATGTTGTCTTTGTGAAAGCAGTGAAGAGAATACAATTGAAAACATATAACAAAAGGACTTCAGTTTTCCTATAATGTATTTCCTTGTGAAAAGTTTAAGTCAAATATTGGGTAGTGCTGAGACTTCGTATGTTAAGTACAGGGTACATGAGTATTTATTATCTAATTCTGTCTGCATTTATTCATGATGGAAATATTACATTTTGATGAATTAAAACATGGTATTTGTAAAATGTATGTACATACTTATGTATTAAAATCATTATGTACTAAGCAACACTAATGCTATATATCACTCCTAAGGATATATGTATGTACATACACACTCATCACACACATGTGCACCTCTTTTTTTAACATTATATATTTGAGATTCACAACTTGAATAGGGAGAATTCCCTGTCATTCTTGATGATGGGTTTCCTTGAAGGAAAGAGGTGATTTTTTTTTAAAACATTTATTTATTTGTGCATACAGAACTGGGGTACAGGCCAAAGGCTCTGGGGCGGTGAGAGGCTTCACCAGAGACAGAGTGGGGAGCAGAACAGGCAGATCGAGGAAGTACACTGCTGAGGGGAGCAGCGGGGGTGTCAGGAGAGGTCTGCCACGCCATGTGGTCACCTCCGGGGTAGGCGGGAATCGAACTGATGCGGAAGCGGCTTTAGATTCTCAGTGCTGTGCTTTAACCCGCTGCACCATCAGGGAGGGCCAAAGAGGTGATTTTTTTGTGTTTTATGTATATGTAATTTATTAAGGACAAAACATGATGTAAATATATTACATATTATCAGTTCTTTGTGACAGGTGTAGGGATATTGCATAAGCAATTTCTCCACTGAATATTATTTTTGTTCTTCAGAATAATCTTTTAAATCTATTAAGCATTAGAATAATTCCTGGAACTTGTATATAAAAGCCAAATTTTTGATCATTAAAAGTATTTTTTAAATAAAGTTATTTTATCAGCATTTATTGGAATGGTACATTGTAATCAGAAAAACTAATTGTGACTATTTATTCTCCCTTCCCAAAGAATACAAGTCAATGATCAGATTGTGGAAGTGGATGGAACCAGCTTGGTGGGTGTCACACAGAATTTTGCTGCAACAGTTCTCCGAAACACCAAGGGCAATGTCAGGTAAATATGTGATGTCAGATATGTGACTTGGTCCCTTGATATATTGTTACATTTCAGTTTTCTATAATTGTCCTATAAGTATATGTGGTAACAAAAACAGTTTATCTAAATGTTAAACCTTGTTTTTCCTTTTTAATTTTCCCTATTATAATTAGCTTATGTAAGTCTTTAAAAGTTTAAAATATAATAGTCTAGAAATTTATTAAGCTAAATGGATTTACTATACGAATCAATATGGTTCTTTACTCAATAATATGAGTCTTATTGCTAATAAGTAGGAATTTCCAGACAGATAGAATTGAGGAATAATAAATGCAATTTTTAAATCTCTTTATTATTTTAAAGAATCAGGACTAATCTTTGATGAATTCTACTTTTGCAGTTTAATAAAACAGAGGGTACATTCTTTTGAACCTTGAAATTCACATCCAGTCATGAGATTCTGAAAGTGGTAGTTTTATTTAGTCATATAGTTTGCTTATCTCTTATACATTTCCATAAATCCCATGAAGGAACATATAAGAGAATGTTATTTAGTATGTATGATTATAAAAGTGTTTTAGTGTTATCCTTATCAAAATTAAACTGCCAGATAGTCTGAAAAGATTGATGAGTTAACATAGTAGAAACAGAGTAAAATTAGGGCTTTATTGTGGCATATTTTATGTTGCACAAGCATGATTCCAAGTTTTAGAATTTAGATTTTTTTTTCTATTGGAAAGCACCCTTTAATGCTGAAGAAAATTCTAAAGGAATAATCTCAGACTTTTCTGAGACCGTCGATGCTTCAGTAACACCAATAATATTGAGAAAAGTATGTAAAATAATTAGAAGTACAGGAAAATTTGATGGATACTCTCTCAGAACTTCATGGGTGACCCCTCAGTAATTGTGATTGTCTTTTTAGAGATTTTTGTCTATTCTTAAAGCTGCATTTTCCTATGTCAGTTGTGACTTTATTTTGAAGCTGCACATTAGTTTTTAAAGTGGATTTATACACAGAATAAGTAAAATAAACTCAGCTTAGAAGAACATTTCTTAGTTGGAAAGTGTTCATAGTTACTTGTAATCATGACCATTCCTTTCTTTCTCTTCATTACTTTATGCTGTTACCATTTTAAACCTTGTACAAATTGTAAATGACTAAACTGGTCTCCCTCATTTTAGTCTGTTCCTTCTTTAATCTATACTTCTCATCTTTACCCTTAATGGAGGAACATAATAGTTTTCCACCAGATGGAATGCTGTCATGGAAGAACAATTTAACTATTCTCTGTAACTCTAGTGGTAGAATTAAACCTGTGGGTAGAAATAATTCTAAATATATAGTATTTTTCTCTTCTTCAGAAACCTTTAGGAACTCTCCATCTGGTGCAGATCTAATCTCTTTATTCTGGTTTAAACATCTTTGCTCACCCAATCTTATTATCTACTTCTTATACTCATGACAGGGTGCTGCTATGATAGGATAGTCATCACCATTTGACTAGGACTTGTGAATTATTTTGTGCCTTTGTTCCTCTCTGTGTAAAACATTCTCTTCTAAACAAATTGGTGGTTATTTGAGGAAGTTGAAGATTGGGAGAAATGGACAAAAGAGGTCAGTTCTTTGGTGGTGGATGGAAACTAGACCTTAGGCATAATTATGATGAAGTACATTTGGATGTTGAATTGTAATGCTTTACACCTGAAATATACAGTGTTTTAAAAACCAGTGTCACTTCAATGAAACATTAAAAAATAAAAAACAAACTCTTCTGTTTAGAACCTACTTTTCTTTAAGAACATATTTGAGCTCCTTTGCCATCTAAGAAGATCTTCTTAACTGCTCTATCCCCTACCGATCTTCCTGGAAACACTCTTCATTCATACTACTTTTTTGACCTTGAGGTTACAGAATATTCTGCTTTCATCTTTTAAAGACACACATCTTATTTTCCAATTCACTTGGCAAACAACTTGCAATCAAAATGGCACCTTTTATTTCCTTTGTTCCCCAAATTATTTAACTCTATGTTTTAATTGAGTGAAATTATGTAGCCCCAGGACCTTATAATTAATTAAATATTGGAGGGGAAATTATTATTTATTACCTGGAAATATATGTGAAATTGGTGCCAGCAATTGACTATTGATCGATATCACACAATGAAGTTCTGTGATGTTCTTACAGAGAATCTTTTTATATCTGACATTTTAATCTGCTTTTTTACTTGATAAACTGAACTATATTTGAGTTTATGAACTTAGAGTAATAATGAAGATTCCATTAGTATGCATTTTTAACACACTAGAGAAATCAATAAAAGTATTTTAGAATTGAGGTTTAGAAAACTCAAGAGAATATATGGTTTTCAACCCTATGTCATTTGCAGAATTTAAAACCCACTAGCCTCAAACCAGACTAGGTAACTGAATGAGCAAAAGCTCAGGCCTGGCTCAAAGCATGGTGAATTATTATTTCCTCTATCTTAAGGATAACACTGAAAATTAATACCTATAATGCTATTATGTTCACAGTGTTGAATAGTTGATTTAAGGAAGGAATCAGTTAGAAATTATGTAGCATAGTAAAACAGGAAAAAGATAAGCATTGAAGGTGTGGTTGTGAGAAATCATAGTCTTCATTTTCCCAACATTGGTATCACAGGACTCATATTTCTCTAGATTTTAAACCACTAGGGATATGTGCATGAAGCACCTTTGCACTGTACTCAGAAGCCCACATTATTCCATGTGTAGTAGGTGCTCCAAAAGTTGGGGGCCTCTATTTCTCCCTATTCCTCTCTTCTCTAACCAGTATTAAATGTATCCATTTAATTTATTTCTACTACATGAATAGCTCAACCATTGAAAACTCCCAGACTCCAATAAATTCCAGTAGAATTAGAAAATCTAAAATCAAAAGGCCCAAGTGAACACCATCTTTTGCTTTAGGTTGTCATAAATCTGTAATCAAGTGTCAACAAATATTATCATTTAATATGAAACTGCAGGTTCTCTTCCAATATATTGGCTGAATCATGGTCCTTGCAGTTGTGAGACTGAGGCTTTCAGCTGCCAACTCACTGTTCTTTGTCCTGTGGTCCATCCATAATAAGACAACTTTCTTCATCAAGTCAATGTGGCAGTCTCAATATGGCAAGACCCTAAAAGAATTCTGCTTGCAGAACAAAGATCTAAATGAGATACTACAGTCATGAGAGTGGCTTTTTATCCCTTTTACCACACCGAAAGAAATTATATAAGAGGAGAAAAAGCAGATGGTAGAGGCCCTGAGTTCGAACTTAACTTCTTTTTATGGATATCTATATCTATAAATATGCTGTAGGTATTAATATGTATTTTTTAATATAAGAAAAACTAGGAAGTAAATCACTCAAATTTAGATCCCATTTATAATTCTTTTATTGTGGTAACATTGGCTTATAATGTTGTTTCTGTTTCAGAGCTATACATTTTCCCCAAATAGGTGCTATTAATATGCAGCATTCTCCCCTTTTAGGTTCTGTTACTATCCCACATCCTCCACCAAAGCACCCTTAGTCCACCACCATTGTCCCTTCCATTGTTCTCCCTTCCCACTCTGACCTCCCTCTCCTCTCTGGTATCTTAATTTCTACCATCAGTTTTCTAGGGTCTGTCACTGGTTTGGTTTTATCTGACCCTTTGTTTCTTTGTATCCCACATACAAGGGACATCATACTGTAATTGTCTCTCTCCTTCTGACTTGATTTGCTTAGCATAAACCTCTCCAGCACCATCCATCTTGCCACAGGAGAAAAATGTATTTTGAATTGAAGTATAGGTAGCCTATAGGTAAAATCTAAGAGCTACTTCTGTTACAAACTATGAATAATATCCATATATTCATTGATATTTCTCTCTAGTCTTAATGCCAGGAAACGTCTCTCTCTAGTAATTATCAAATGAAGCCAGACATTATGAATTCAGATTTGGCATTACTATAACAAATATATGAGATTATGGAAGAGTTTAAACTTCTCTTTGACTCGATTTCTTCATCTACAAAACTAGAATCAAGTTAATACTAACCCCAAAGATTTGCGATGAATGTCAAAGAGTCAATACACGTAACACATTTCAGTGAGTGCCTGGAAAAGTTGAAATGCAACTGAATATTAATATTATAATATTGATTAAAAGTATTTTCTTCTGAAAACTGATCATATATGTTTTTGAATAGATTAATTGTTAAAAAACCAAGAATCATTAATATAATAGTTGCAGCCATATTTAACAAAGGTACAGGATCTTATGCTATGTATTTTAGAATAACTTTCTTTGTTAACTTTCTAATGTTTGTGTTTTTTATATGTTATTAAGACTTATTTTATGTAAACTAATTTATAATCAAATATATATTCTTATATCAGTTAATTTATTTTTATTTATTTCATCAGTTTTTAATGTATTTTTTAGATTTACTTATCTATGCATACAGGAACTGGGGCAGATAGAGGCCAGAGGTCCAGGGGGGAGGGAATAAGGGGTTCACTGGAGATAGTGTGGAAACAGATTCATCATCATTTTTGTTTTATCTCTTCTTCTTGCAAATATTTCCCCCCTTATCATGGGTTTTTTGAAAATTTATGAGGCAATACTAGATTGGGGTGTGTGCATGTGTTTGTGTTTGTGTATAATTCTTCTAGGGATTCAATTTGAAGACTTGGATTTCTATTAACATGTTTCCATTAATAATGTTTCTGTTAACTTTTTCCTTTTATTTCTTCTTCACTACGTTGTCTCTTTTCAAACCTGTATTAAATGGGGTTTAGAGATCCTAAACATATCCTCTAGCATCTTTTCTCTTAATATTGCTGTCTGTGTATACTTTTGCTAATATATTCAATGTCTTATCAATTTTATCATCCAGATCACTAATGTATTTTTTTTTAATTTATTTATTTTGCACATACAGAAGTGGGGTACAGGTCAGAGGCTCAGGGGCAATAAGAGGCTTCACCAGAGACAGAGTG